GGTTTCCACACCTGCCTGGGGGATACTGCCACCTCACGCCACACCTCACGCCTCCTCCCGGTCAACAAGCGCCAGTGGAGTTTCTTCCCGGAACTTTATCCACTACGAGGAAGGAGGGGGAGTGAAGGAGTGGAGGGGGTGAAGGAAGGAAGAGAAGGGGGAGGTGAAGGACGACGGGGAAGAGGAGGAGTAAAAGGAGGTGAAAGGAAGAAAGTGAGAGAGTGAGTGGAAAGAGTAGAGAAGTGGAGGAGGAGGAAGAGAAGGAGGTGAAGGGGGAGGAGGAGGGAAGAAGGAGAAGATGGGTGAGAGGATGATGGGTGGAGGAGGAGGAAAGAGAGTTGGGAAGGAATGAGGAAAAGGCCCAATAGGTGGAGGAAGAGGAGAGGAGGGAGGGAGAAGGAAGATAGAAAGCTGAGGGTGAAGGAAAATTAAGGAGGGAAGAGAAGGGGTGGGGCTGAAGGAAGGATAAGGAAGTGGGAGAAGAAGGAGAAGAGAGAGAGAGTGAAGGAAGGGAGAGGTAGAAGATGGGAAGGAGTAACAGGAGCAAGAGCAAGTAAGGAGAGGAAGGTGAACAAAGGAAGGAGATGAAGAAAATAAAGAAAAGCGAGAGATGGGTAGAGGAAGGGGAGGAGGAGGGAGGAGAGGAGGGAGGAAGTGAAACAGAAATACGGAAAAAGGGAAGAAGGGTAGGGGGAAGAAAGGAGGAATTACGATAAGAATAAGAAAGGGAACGTGAACTGAGAACAGATGCTCACACACACACGATCATAAAACTCATTAATTCATCGTCGTTCACTCCTCTGATGGTCTTGGCAGAGGTGAGGGGAAGAGAGAGCGAGAGAGAAGAGAGGGAGGGAGAGGGGAAGAGAGTGAGGGGAAGGCTGATGTTCTGTTTTTTAATGAGGGGAACTAAAGGATGATACCCATTACTCAGCGGAAGGAGAGAAGGAAGGAAGGAAGGAAGGAGAGGAGAGAAGGAAGGAGAAAGTAATGTGAGGGGAAAAGGATGGAATGGAGGAAGGAGGGAAAAGAAGGAAAGACTAATAACACTTTTCCTCTCAAGAAGAAAGGAAGAAGTCTTTACACACACACACACACACACACATTATGAACACCTCTTGATACGCTCATTTAAGACTCGGAATAAGAACTACCTTCCTGCCTTCCTTCCTTCCTTCCTTCCTTCCTTCCTTCACTTCCTTCCTTCCTTCCTTCCTTTCTCTTTTCTTTCCTCCCATTCTCCTCCTCCTCCCTCCTTCCTTCCACCATGTTAAAAATATCATAATCAAAACAAAAGCCAAACGCTGGTAAACAAACCCTCCCTCCCATATAATATAAACGTTATAACTAAAATACCATCGTTTATAGGGAAGGTGAAACAAAAGAGGATCAATCACGCAGCACTAATACGTTTCCAACCGCAGTAATGAGGTGCTGTACTTGTATAAACACGGCAGCGCGGCAACACGGCGACACGTCAACACGGCAACACGGTAACACAGCAATACGGCATCACAGTACCATGGTAACACGGCAACACCATCGATCGTCAACTTCCCGAGTCAGATAAAGAGAATCGCTCTTCTTTTCTTTTATTAAATAGTGAGAGAGAGGTTATGTATGATGGAGAAGGAGGAGGAAGGAGGAAGGGAGATGAGGTTGTGTGGGAGGGTGAGGGTGTAGGTGGAGAGGCAGGGAGGGTGAGTGGCGAGGAGGAGGAGGAAAGGAGGTGGTGAGGAGGTGACGAAGGAGGGTGGAAGGGAGGTGTGAGGAAGGGAGGTGGTGAGGAGGAGGGTGGCGAGGAGGGAGTGAGGGTGAGGAGGGGGTGTGAGGAGGGAAGGGCAGCAGGGAGGGAGGGCAGGGAGGGAAGGGAGGGGTGGCAGGGGGAGGGAGGGAGGGTGGCGAGGAAGGAGGGTGGCGAGGGAGAGGGAGGGAGCGAGGAGGAAGGGAGGGCGGCGGGGAGGAAGGGAGAAGGGAGGTGGCGAGGGAGGAAGGGAGGTGTGAGGAGGGAAGAGGTCCTGGCTATTGGAACAAACAGGCCAGAGGAGGAACCAGGTTTATAGGTCACGCAGCAGATTGGCAACAGTGAATGCGATTCCAACACGTAAAAACGGAAGTTAAATTTTTCCAAACTTATCATTAATATATAAACACATTATCATAAATATCTTCTCTAAGTCATTAAAATATCATCAGACAGTCATTCATTAGTGTCTGTTTTTATTAATTGATGTTATTAAAATTGATGGTTGAGGATTGTTGAAGATTTAAACAAAAAACTAATGTGTTTATTTTCCCGACAGACCGTCCTGTCAGTGTTGCCAACGTGGAGGAAAGTCGCTCTTCCGGAATGAAATGATTATAATATTTTTTCAATGCTTAAGCTGTGTGTGTGTGTGTGTGTGTGTGTGTGTGTGTGTGTGTATATAAATAATTAACGGTTTAATGAAAAAGTTCTGCAGCCCAAGGCTGAAAATATACATTGGGCATAAATGACTTATTACATACATTGGTGGTTTAACAAAAGCCTTCATTAGAAAGGTAAAGGAACATACAGTGAACATACAGATTAATGAAAGGTGTTGAACAACAAACGTAGTGTAACTCCTCCCAGGTGGTGTTAGGAGGGACCTCACGTGGTGTAGTAGTTCCCTCACAGATGGTGTTATGAGGGGCCTCACGTGGTGTATTAATTCCCTCACAGATGGTGTTATAGGGGCCTCACGTGGTGTAGTAATTCCCTCACAGATGGTGTTATGAGGGCCTCACGTGGTGTGGTAATTCCCTCACAGATGGTGTTATGAGGGGCCTCGTGGTGTAGTAATTCCCTCACAGATGGTGTTATGAGGGCCTCACGTGGTGTAGTAATTCCCTCACAGATGGTGTTATAGGGGGCCTCACGTGGTGTGTGTGTGTGTGTATACATATGTTGCATGTGTATACGAATATATGTGTGTGTGTGTGTATGTATGGGTGTACGTATATGCGTGTATGTATGTACGTCAATGTGGTGTGAGCAGCCAGTAACGCCACCACCGGGACAGTCAGCTCGGCGAACTGATGAAATATTCAACGTTCAATTTCGTTCGTGTGTCCTCTCTCCTCTCTCTCTCTCTCTCTCTCTCTCTCTCTCTCTCTCTCTCTCTCTCTCTCTCTCTCTCTCTCTCTCACATGCTCTTTTATTCGTAGACTGTATTATTATTATTATTATTATAAGTTGAAACATTAATTGTAGTATTTTTATTTTTTATGTATTTTGCTGTTTTGATGAGTAACTTTAGTGAGTACAGTGGTGTGTGTGTGTGTGTGTGTGTGTGTGTGTGTGTGTGTGTGTGTGTGTGTGTGTGTGTGTGTGTGTGTGTGTGTAATAATATAAATAATAATTAACGGTTTATTGAAGGCTTGGCAGCCAGAAGGCAATATACAGTTACATATTTGGGGAATGGGTTACGAATTACAAATAATATACAAGTGACATAAGTGACACAAATAAGACATATAGTAACTCAGATGGGGATCAGCTCAAACTACAGTTCATTTCAACATAGTGACAGTGTAGGGAGCAGTGTTTACTAGGAGTGAATACACTGATTTATTACATGTTATTGATAATTTTTCAATGGTTGGGACTGGGCTGTTCTTATAGTGATCAGTTCGTGCACGTATGGGCTGGTGTGTGTGTGTGTGTGTGGACGGAGGTAGCAGCAGAAGCAGGAGGGATTTTAAGGATATACAAAGTATTTCAAGGTTGGATAAGGGATTTCAGGGTTGGATTATGGTTTTGGGAATTTCAAATCAGGGAAAACATTAAAATCGAGAAAATCTTAGAAAAAACGTCAATTTCTACAACACGTCTGGACCTGTTTCGACGTTACATGTACCGTACGAGTCAGGAAGCCTCGATTACGTCATACGTCCATCAGGAAATGATGTACAGTACTACTCTCTATAATGTAACTGTTAATTAGGGCATAAAATATACGTGTGGTCATAACTACTATATCCGGTTAAGTTAGTTCAGCTCTCTCTCTCTCTCTCTCTCTCTCTCTCTCTCTCTCTCTCTCTCAATGATAACAAAAACAAGGTTGAATTGGATTAAAATTTAAGTTGGTAGAATAATTTTTGGCCAATAAGATTTTTTGTCCAATTGGGAATTTTGTCCAACTAAATTTTTGTCCAACTAGGAATTTTGTCCACCTAGAACTTTTGTCCGACTGGGGTTTGGGTAAGTGACTGGCTGGCTGGGCGACTGGCTGGCTAGTTGGGTGACTGGCTGGCTGAATTGGTGAATGCGTTAATGGATTGGTGGTTGGGTAGTTAGTAGATGGTTGGGTGGGTGGTTGGTTAGATTAGTGGGTAGGTGAATGGGTGGTATGGCGTCTGGGTGGATGGTCGGCTGGGTGGCAGAGTGAGTGGGTGACTATCTGGCAGGCTAAGTGGGTGGGTGGATGAATAAATGGGTTAATAGCTGGGTGGCAGGGTGGCAGACTGAATGGGTGGGTAGATGGTTTAGTTGGTTGAGTGGCCGGCCGGGTGGGTGGCCGGGTGGTTGAGTGGCCGGCCGGGTGGTTGAGTGGCCGGCCGGGTGGGTGGCCGGCCAGGTGGGTGGATGGCCTCTCAGGAATACCTTTTAGTAATCAAGACAAACGATAAACAGGTGACGGACGAACAGCTGTGTGTGTGTGTGTGTGTGTGTGTGTGTGTGTGTGTGTGTGTGTGTGTGTGTGAAATAAAGGCCCAAAAACAAACGTTTATTAACATCAACACACCTGAGAGAGAAAGAGAGAGAGAGAGAGAGACACTCAGCCATCACTGTTATGTCCCCAGAAACAAGATATTAAGAGATATTACGAGATATATATTACCTCAGTTTAATCGCCATTCATAAGTTGTGTATGGATGACTGTCTCGTGTAAAGCAGAATCACGTGATTGGGGCACAGGACCACCCCCCCTCTCTCTCTCTCTCTCTCTCTCTCTCTCTCTCTCTCTCTCTCTCTC